TGATGTCGTCGTCCCCCGGCTGAAAAACTTTCGCCTGCTTGCTCTGGGGGGTGAAGTAGTCGTGGATGAAGCGCTTGGGAGGCTGCTTCCCACGATGGCGCACATTCAGGGGAGTCGGCGGCTGCTTGCCGTGCATCCGGTGGGAGGTCGTCTGCACTGCATTGGCCAAGGTGGCCCTGAACTTCGAGATGGTGGTTTCTGACTGGGACTGCGCCTCGGCGATGGCCTCGGGAGAGACAGAACCGAGCTTCGCTAAGTCCTGCGCTGCGGCCTGGAGCTGGGCCGTGAGACCGTCCAGCGTGTCCTGACTCGGAGGCGGAGGCTGCGCGACCTGCTTCTCGAGCTCGGCCATTTCCTGGGTGATCTTGGCAACCTCCTCGCGAGCCGTCGCAATTGTCTGCTGCGCCAGCTTGAGGCCATCCTCGGCCGTGGCCTGGCGAGCGCGTGCGCGCTCGAGGGCCGCGCGGGCCCCATCGAGGCGCTTGCCCAATGAGCGGAGGTCGCCAATCTGCTTGCGGCGTGCGTCGAGCTGCTGCTGGATCTGGCCGCGCGCCAGCTCGAGCGACGGGTCCTTCGGCATCGCCTGCAGAGTGGCCTCGAGCTGCTTGCTGGACTCGATCAACTCGTTCTTGGTCGCCGACGCCTCCTCCTGGAGGTGTTCGGTGGGCGGCGCCGCCGACGGAGGTGAGGGCGAGGGGGCCGCGGGTGCCGCGCCAGCCCCTTGCGCCAGCTTCTCCGCAACGAGTTCGAGTTGCTGCTGAACCGGATTGCCGCCAGGGCGGGCACTCGTAGAGGTCGTCGTGGGGCCGCTGTGCGACGTCGGAGGCGTGTGGGTGCCCCTTTCACTGCGTCCGCCCAAGACCGCCGCATCCCGCACGTGGAGCAAGCGTGCTTGCTGAAGTTGCTGGACTGGCACCCTGAGCACGTCCACAGCTTCTTCTCGGTGTTCTTCTGGCGGGACCCGACATAATGCCATTGTCCCGCAGGGTCGCGTTTCCACTCGGATGTAGAAGGCGAGCCACTGCCAACATGGCCGCCGCCGGCCCCGTTGGCGGGATGGCCGGCAGGCCACACCGCGCCCTGGCCACGCGTATTGCGTCCCCATCCTGACATCGGAAGGCGGGTTAGTCTTGGAACCGCCGAAGACAAAAGCTTGCGATGCAAAACTGGATGTAGACTTACGTTTTAGCTCGAGCCCTTGAGCCAAATGGCTTGCGCCAAAATGGATACGGACGGGACACGCGTCCGGGACAGATGCGACTGGATCGTCGCGCAGCGGAACCCATGTCATGGATTCGGCGCGGTGCCACATCGCAAATCCCGCGGCAGTGCATGGCCAGATACGCCAGTTCACCGTCAATGGAAGGAGCGGGAAGGGGGGGAGGAGGGAGGGAAGGGGAGGAGGGGGCAAGAGGAAGGGAAACTGCCGTGCACACCTATCGGCCACGCGGCGGGACAGAGGCCACCGAACCGTCGCACACCGTAACTCGTGTCACGGACTCGGTGCGCTGCCACATCGGGGGGCCCCGCGGAGTTGCGCGGCCGGATAGGCCGGCGCACCCTCAAGAGGAGGGAGCGGAAGGAGCAAGGAGGGAAGGAGGAAGGGGAGGGGAAGGAGGAAGGCGGCGGATGGAATCGAACGACACAGTACAGCCTGCACCTCAGAACCACAGCCCGCTGCGCCCTACTCAGTCGGCCGCCCGCGGGCCTTTCGCACGTAGCCATCGAAGGCGCCACTGACGTCCTGCAGCGCGAGGGTGCCGTGGCAGCGCCCTGTGCGCACGCGGTGCAAGGCGTGGTCGGACGCGGCCCAGTCGACCACGGCGCACTCGCCCTGGCGGCGCCTGTCCAATCCCATTAATGCGTCAAGCTCGAAGCCTGGGCCGGGTCGAGGAATGACAAGAAATATGCTTTGTAACGCGCAGACGACAGGATAACAAGCGAAGTGCATGACGCTGCCCGCCCCGGCATTGCATAACCAGCAGGGGCCAGTTTGGCCGAGGCGCGATCGCGCGCACCGCCCGGCGCATGAGAGACGAGAGACCGCGGCCCAAACCCGCGGCTGGCAGCGTCGCCCGACTAGCTTCAAGTTGCGGAGCGTCGGTGTCAGCCGGTGGCCTGGTAGACGTGCCAACCGCCAGTGCCAGAGCTTTTTCTGGAGGTGAATCTGGGCGTCCACGCGGGCTGGGCCATGCAACTACCCCATTGCATGTTTCTGGCAGCAATGCCGCTGGGGGGGCATCCGGATTGGCGCGTCGATGGACATTGACGCGTTCCGCGGCCCTGTCTGAAGTGAGGATCAAGCAGCTGTCTCGCCATGAGCGCAGCCAGCCAAGTCGTTGAACCGATTATGTAGCACTCGCGCACGAGAGCTGCTGCATGCTCCGGACCCTCTGGAAAATGCGCAAACGCCCGCTCGATTCCCCCTCAACCACTCGGGCATTCGAAGCCGCGACGGCGGGCCTGTGAGCTGATCGTTGAAACCGAAGGGCATGAGTTCATGAGCGCGCTGTGCCGTGATCCAGTCCTTGGGGCCTCGGGCCATCTTATTGAAAGTTTGGGCTTCCTCTTGCTGAAGTTGCGGCGGGGGGCCCCCCAATTGGCCCACGAACAAAAAGTGCAGAGGAATTGCGCGCCCGGCGGGCCTGCGAGGCCAAGGGCATGCCGACGCCCAGGACACGCCCAGAGAGCCGCCCGCTCGATGCACTTTCGCAGCGGCGCCGTCCAGGAAGCGAAGCCCCGGCCGAGGCCCGCGCACGAGCCCAGGCACTTGGCTGACTCCTGGATCAGCACTCCCGCCCAACCAAGGGCCTCGGCCCCAATCCAAGCTCGCAGTGTCCGCGTGAGCTCCTGTGACAACGGATCCGTCAGCGCCAGCGCCGTCTTCGGGGCGTTGAGACCGAGCCCAAACGCCGCTTCGAACTCGGAAGAGAATTGCCGGAGCATCCGCAACTTGCCTCGCGAGTTGGCGGTCGCGAGGGCGAGGTCGCCCGCGACAAACCGGATCGCGCTGCCCGGAAGGGCCCGCTGAAGCCGACGCAGGTACAAGTCCGAGCACGCAGCGAACAGCAGTGGAGAAAAAGGGCGCCCCTGACCGATGCCCCAGGCCAGCTGAAAACCATCGCGCCGAACGCCGCGCACTTGCATCCGGCGCTCGTTGTTCCGGCAGAGCGCGAGGATGAAATTCGCGCCACTGTGGCAAACAAGGAGACTAGAAGAAGCGAGCGATGAACTTCTGCTCGACTGAGGGGAAGGCCGCGGCAAAGTCAAAGAAGAAGGCCACGCCGCCCTCCCCGTCCGCCGCGGCGTAGAGCACGGCCTTGGCCGCGTCAGCGACGCCCCCTAGTATCGAACGCCCCCGGGCGAACCCTCTCTGGCAATCCGCGGGCGATGAGAGCGCCCAAGACAGGTCCCAGCCAGAATCTGGCGGCAATTGCCAACAATCTATTGTCCGCGCTGCTCGAGTTCAGCGGCCGCGCGCCCGCCGGACCGCAGACGTCGGCGCCGCCCTCCGTCTGCCCTGCGGGTTTCTCGGGTAAGAAATTCAGGATGCTGTCGTTGAAATCCGGGTACTCCTCGCCCATCTGCGCCCCCGCCGAGATGGTAAATCTTGGGGCGCACCGAACAGAACGTCGCGAAGAGCACCTGCCATTGAAGACGTTTGCGCGAGGCACTCCCCACTTTAGGACGTGCGTCCAGACGCTCGGTTTGTTGTCGTCTTCGCTGGTCCCGAGAAGATGAAACAGCAATCATAACATCGTTTTGCTATAGGAAATTTTGTAAAAAACATTGTATTTCAACGGTTTTGGGAAAAAAAAAAAAAAAAAAAAAAAAAAAAAAAAACATCGAAACCAGCACCCCCCCATCAACAAAAAAAAACAAAAGGTTGTTTTCGTGAGATTTTTTTTTCGCATACGTCCTTCTGCTAGCATTTTTTTTTTCTCCCCGAGAGCTGGGGAAGATGGCGCGCATTTTTTTTTTGCGCGCAGAGCGTTGACCGCGGACCGAAGCCTTCCTTAATCGCGACGACGACGACGACGACGACGACGACGACGACGGACGCGGGAGGCGGAGGAGGAGGAGCAGCGGACGGAGGAGGAGGAGCCGCCTCGGTATCCTCCTCCACCTCCTCCGTCCGCTGCTCCTCCTCCTTCGCCTCCCGCGTCCGTCGCCGTCGCCGTCGCCGTCGCCGTCGCCGTCGTCGTCGTCTTCGTCGTCTTCGACGTCGTCGTCGACGTCGTCGTTTAGGGTCGGCGGCCTTCGGTAGCGAGGGAGAGGGTGAGGGTGAGAGGGAAGAGAGGGGCAAGGGAGAGGGAGAGGGAGAGGGAAGAGAGGGAGAGGGAGAGAGAAGAGAGGGAGAGGGAGAGAGGGAGAGAGGGAGAGGGAAGAGAGGGAGATGGAGGAAGACGACGACGACGAGGAAGCCGCGGCCGTCGGCTCGGCTCAACGCCGCTACCGCGGCGGCGGCGCTGGGCGCTGGCCCCGATCCAGGGGGGATAAGGGTACCGATGCCTTACCCCGCCGCCGTTTCGGCCTTCTCTGGCCTCCTGGAGATTCCTCGTTGCCCTGGCTGGATCCGTTTCGAAATTCTGGTCACAGCGCACCCCTGGAGAGGTGTTGGTACCTTTTCGTCCTCCCAGTCGTCGTCGTACGTCGTCCGTCGTCGTCATCGTCGTCATCGTGATCGCCATCGTCTGTCCATCAGTCCGTCCGTCTGTCCGTTCTCTGAGCGCCCCGCCCTTCGCGATATCCCACGCGACGTGGGGAGCGACATGAGCCTCCTCCTCCTCCTCCTCCTCCTCCTCCTCCTCATTATCCTCCTCCTCCTCCTCCTCCTCCTCCTCCTCCTCTTCCTCCCCTCGTCGTCATTGTCGTCGTCGTCGTCGTCGTCGGAGTCGTCGTCCGGCCATGTCGACGACGTCGTCGTCGTGTCGTCATCGTCGTCGTCCGTTGACCGTCTGTCGTCGTTCGCCGTCGTCGTCGTCGTCGTCGTCGTCGTCCGTCCCTCCGTCCCTCGGATCCGTCGGAGCTCCCCTGGATGGAGCGCCCCGATGGAGCGCCGACTGCTGGCCGCGTGCGGCCCGCGCACTTTTCTTCGCGGGTGGGCAGGGGGCCGCACAATCGTGCGTACAAGCGGCCTTGCGGCCAGTGCCGCCGACCCTGAACGACGACGACTACGACGACGACGACGACGACGACGACGACAACGACGACGACGTGGGCGACATCGACGACGACGACGACGACAGGGCCCACGAGGGACAGACGAACAGCCCATTCCACACGCCGACAGGGTCGACAGGGTCGGCGGATTTTCACGTGTCCACGGCCCCCTGGGGGGAGGAGGAGGAGGAGGAGGAGGGGGAGGAGGAGGGGGAGGAGGAGGACGAGGAGGAGGAGGAGGAGGAGGAGGAGGAGGAGGAGGAGGAAGAGGAGGAGGAGGGAGGTAGCGAGGAGGGAGGGGACAGGAGAAGGAGGAGGGGAGGAAGAGGAGGAGGAGGAGGAGGAGTAGTAGGAGGAGGAGGAGGAGGAGGAGGAGGAGGACCCCGCATCGCGGCGGCAGGGATGACGTGTACATGTCGCGCGATTGCGCGGTCAGGGTGATCGGCGCCTTCGCCGACGTCGCCAAGCCGCCTGGGGATGCCGCGATCGAGCGGACCCTCTCTCGTTACCGCGCTCAGGACGACGTGTCTGGCCCGGGAGCTAGTGCGCCAGCTGCATATCACATCGATGCCGTGCCCGAGGTGCTCAAGCTCATGCGGGTGCACGTCGGCCCAGAGGAATGGAGCAGCGTTCACCGGCAGTTGAGGCGCAAGGCGACTGCGGATCTCTAGGCCTCCTAGATGGGGTCCGAGTAGATGGGGTCAGAGGATCGCGCCGCATCGCCGATGCATCGCCGATGCAGCTCGATGTGCAGCCCGATTTCCTCCACGTCGACGTCGCCGATGCATCGCCCACGTCGGCGCCTCATCGCTGGTGCATCGCCGATGCATCGTCGATGCATCGCCGATGTATCGCCGATGTATCGGCGATGCGGCGCGGTCCTCCGACCCCATCTGTTCCGACCCCGTCTAGGAGCCCTCTAGGATCTCCTGTCCTCGGAGTCGGGCGACGACGGCGGCGATGAGGATCCAGAGCATCCAGCCTCAGGCGTTCTCGAGCAGGTTGGTGAGATTCATGAGGGCGCTCCAGTCGTTGCCATGGGCCCCCCTTCGGACCCGGACGGCATGGAGGGTGCCAGCTTTGAGGAGGTGCTAGCCGCATATCGGGCATCACAGGATAAGGTTTCGCAACTAGAGCAGAAGCTCGCGGCCGCTGGGAGATCCAGGAGGCGGTTCAGAATGCTTGCGAAGGGATGGAAGGCCCAGGCGGCAGCCGAGACACGCCGTCGGGAACGTGGCGAGTACAAGGCGGGTTCGGGCCGGTACATGAGCATTCACGGCGGCATGACTCTCGCGATCAGGAGGTGCGCTACTTCAGGCTCCCGCGGCCCCGCGGCTTGAATCAGGGGCCAGGGGCGATGGGCATGATGGGCACGGACCCCTGCGTCGGCGCTGCTTCGTCTTTTCTTCCTTATGCACTCTTCTTCATTTTTTTTCTTCTTCTTTTTTCTTCTTTATTTTCTTCTTCATTCCCTTAGTCGTTCTTCCTCTGCTTCTTCTTTTCTTCTTATTATCTTCTTCTTCTTCTTTCTTTCTTCTTCTTCTTTTTTTCTTTACTTCTTTTCTTCTTCTTCTTCCTTCTTCTTCATTCTTATTTTCTTCTTCTTTTTTTTTTTCTTTTTTTTCTCTTCTTCTTCTTCCCCTCATATTATAATTCCCCTTAATATATTTTCTTTTTTTTCCCCTCCCCCTTTTTCCTCCCCCCTACCCCCCCCACATTTAATTTCCCTAATTTTTCCAAAACCCAAATCTCCCCCTTCCCCCCCCTCCTCTTCCTCCTCCTCCCTTTCTCTCCCTTTCCCCTCCCCTTTCATCCCCCCTCACATTTCTCCCTTCTCTTTTTGCATTTTTCCTACCTATCCCTCCCCCCCTTTACTCAACCCCCACCCCACTCCTCCCTAACCCCCTTCCTCTCAACCTCCAAAACCATCCATCACCCCCACTATACACCCTACCAACCACTCACACCCAACCCTCAGTCAACCCCCCTAATATTAAAACACACTACATTCAAACCCTATCCCTACGCACAATACCTACGGACCCTATTATATATATTATATATATACCCCCCAGTCATGCTAAGAGTAACGCCCTCTTAGTGTAGTGTATGCGTGTAGTATTTTAGTGTGGCGTTTTAGTGTCGGGTTTAGTGTAGTGTATTAGTGTGCGGCAAGAATCGGTATTAGTGTAGTGTATTTGCGTAGTGGATTCGTGTACTGTTTCAGTGTAGTGTTTTAGTGTAGTGTATTAGTGTATAGGGTAGTGTTATAGTGCGGTGTAGTAGTGTTGTGTATTAGTGTAGTGTTTTATTGTAATGTTTAGTGGGAAGTTATGCATGGTTAAAGCGCGCCCTCATGACACAACCCTTCTGCCTTCTACTTCTTTACTTCTCCCTCCTCCTACTACTCATCCGCCTCCTCATCCTGGCTCTGGACCCCTCCTCTCTCCTCGCGGCGCACCGCTCCCCCCATTTTGTTTATCGGGCTGGCCCCTTCCACCTCTGCCATCCAATCCTACCCTCCTCGGACCCTCCTCCGCCACTCCTCCGCCTCCCCCCTCCGCTCGTCCTCCAGTTGCCTCGCCCTCTTTGGTTCGTTCTCCCAGAGCCCCCACAGGCTGCGCGGGTTTCCCGTGAGCGGGATCTCGGAGGGTGCTCGTTTGAGCGGGATCTCCAGGGGTGCTCGTTTGATTCGTTTGATCCCCCTCCTCCTCCAGGTGCCGCGACTTCGTTCGGGCTGGCGGTGCAGGAGGACGTCCACCACTCCACCGTCTGCCGGTGGGAGCTCCGCTGCGCCGCCTCGCTGCTCGCTGGGTCCCACGCGGTGTACCGCGCGATGTCTGAGTGCTTCCGCGACCCAGAGGTCGATGGCGGCGGCGTCGATGTCGATTGGGTTCTCACGTTCGGGCTCCACTGTTACCGAGCGGACGCCTCGAACACGCAAGTGTTCGAGAAGAAGGTGCGGGTGCAGGAGGTATCCTCGTCGTTTCTCCCATACGCCCTTCCTGTAAATGTCGACGTCAACATCGGGGTCGTCCGCGAGGCACGTGAGAACATGGTTTACCATCATATGTTCTGCGATTTGCTCACTCCGGAGGGGTCGACGGCGCAGTGTGCTCTGTCGATGACCAAGAAGCAGTGGACATCTGTTGGGTGCCCGCCGTGGACGCGGGAGCTGAAAAAAATTGAGCGGTTGTCCAGCTTTGTCGAGGGCGACGTCGTCAGGGAGTTCGTGCCGCCGCCGCCCCCCTGTGACGGGCGCCTGGCCATCATTCCGCTCGCGACCATTCACGCTTGCACCGACAGCGGCGGCGACGAGGCGGCTGCCAAGGCGTCCATCGCCCGGGAGATTGCGGATGACCTGTTCACGTTCTTTATTGATGTACCTTGTTTGTTCCACCAGTTGCATTTAGCTGTGAAAAAAAGTTTGGTGACATCAGATTGGCTATTGCACTGCTTGGGCAAGGCATTCAATTATTTTTCATCTGTGGCCAAAATCCAACATACGTGGAGAGATAAGCGGGCGGCCATCTACAACGCGTGGTCTAAGGCCTCGCCTGATACCGCAGCAAAGGCTAGAGCCAAGCCGCCATGTGCCATCGGGGGGCGGTGGGGCAGCGTCCATGCGGCGGAGGACTATTTGTTGCTGCATCATGTCCCTACGTTGCAGAAGGTCTTCAACACCGTGTTCAACAAGGACGCGGCGCCCACCCTGGCGGCGGCTTTGCTCGGCGCCGCGGAGGCGAAGGCAAAGGCGAAGGGCGCGGCCAAGGCAGTGGCCGCAGGGAAGGCCGCGGTCAAACCGGCGGCCAAACCCAAAGCCACGGCGGGGTCGGCTACTACAGCGACGACTACATCGGCGGCCATTGTCCCGCACGTCGACGGCACTCAGGAGCGACCGCCGGCCCCTCTCCCTTTGGGCCAACTTGGGCCCCTCCCCCCCCCCCCGCACTTGAGGAAGAGGAAGAGGAGGAGAGGAGGAGGAGGAGGAGGATATCGAGGACGAGGAGGAGAAGGACCAGGGACCCAGGGAGAACCCAGGATTCCCAGGATGCATCAGCGATGCTGCTCCGAGTTCGTCGAAGGGCCCCATCCGCCGGCCCGTCCGCGCCTCCAGCTGCGCGTCATCAATCGTCACATCATCCGTGGTCCGTAGTCTCCGCATCTCAATCCAGCCGTGTTTTTTTGTTTCCGCGCCTCCTGCCTCCGCTGCGGAGTTCCGTTCGCCGCGCGGCCCTGCATGGCTGACGTGCACGCCGCGTTGCTCGTGGCCTGGACGGTCCTCTGCGTCTTGCTGACGCACAAGGTTCATCCTATCCTTCTCCTCCTCCTCTTCCACAGTCCTTCCCCTCCTGCTTCCTCTTCCCAACTTCCTACCCCCTCTCCTCAGACGATCGCGGTGCTGCGTCGCATGGGCGTCATGGGCTTGGCCCCGGAGGTGGAAATGGTCATGACGACGGCGACGACGACCGTGACGGAGGAGGAGGTGCCTGCTGAGCCTGCTGAGGTGCCGCCACCGCCCCCCCCGAAGCACCCGTGCCCGTACGTGGCTGCGACGCCGCCGCCGCCGCCAAAAGCCAACCCTGACTTGCCAGGCCGCCCGCCATTCCCGCCATTCCCGACAACCTCGAGTACAAAGACGTTGCGGCGGACGGTCCAGGTGCAGGGGCCTGTGACGCACCTCCGTCATCGGGCCCAGCCGCGCTTTCAGCCAATGGCTGAGCGCGAGTGGGGGGCTTGGTCGGACTAGGCGACCCGTGACGCGGCGGCGCCGACAGAGGAGCTCCCAGTTGGCTGGGGGGCTCATCCTCAGGACTCATCCTCGCGAGAAGTCTAACCTTCCTGGCCTCCTCCTCCCTACTCCTCCTCCTCCTCCTCCTCCTCCTCCTCCTCCTCCTCCTCCTCCTCCTCCTCCTCCTCCTCCTCCTCCCCCCTCCTCCTCCTCGTCATCGCCATCCCCCTCGGCGTCTGATCGAGCGGAGGGGATGAGCTGAGGAAGACAAGCTGACAACCCGGGGAAGCAGAGCTGGGTCGTCGTCGTCGAGTCGTCGTCGTCGTCGTCGTCGTCGTCGTCGTCGTCGTAGACTCCGGCCAGAGCGTGCCCCGCTGACCCAAGAAGAGCTGGTCGGAGATGGACGACGTCGAATCGTTGACTCACCGTCGTCATGGGTGGCGTCGTCGTCGTCATGGTCATGGCCACGGATTAAAATTTGAGGATGTCTCAGGCGAAGCGCTTGTTTTTGAAATCCCGATCGATAAATCATAGGGTGCGGGGGTGCGGGCCACCTCAGCACGACCACATCCCAGCGCGACCACACCCCAGCACGACCACGCCCCAGCACGACCACGCCCCAGCACGACCACACCCCAGCACGACCACACCCCAGCACGACCACACCCCAGCACGACCACACCCCAGCACGACCACACCCCAGCACGACCCGATCCATAAATCACAAGGTGCGGACCACCCCAGCACGACCACACCCCAGCACCCCAGCACGACCCCACCTTGGCACGACCCCACCCCAGCACGACCACGCCCCAGCACGACCACACCCCAGCACTGACGACCACACCCCAGCACGACCACACCCCAGCACGACCCCACCCCAGCACGACCCCACCCTAGCACTGCCCTAGCACGACCACACGGTGACCACACCCCAGCACGACCACACCCCCAGCACGACCACACCCCAGCACGACCCCACACCCAGCCCCAGCCACGACCACCCCGCACGACCACCCCCAGCACGACCACACCCCAGCACGACCACACCCCAGCACGACCCCACCCCAGCAAGACTCAACAAGACCTCGCCCCAGCACGTCAGCACGACCACACCCCAGCGCGAGACGGAGAGGCAGAGACGGCAGCGGCGCCTGCTGCCCCAGCGCCAGCGCCACCGCCGCCGCCAGCGCCAGCGGGGCAGCCGCCGGCGGATTCGCCTCCGGCAAGCTGGGCAATGATGAGGAGAGAAGGAGGAGGGAGGCGGGAGAGGAGGAGGAGGAGGAGGAGGAGGAGGAGGAGGAGGAGGAGGAGACAAGGTGCGCTCGTGCCGCTCGTGCTACATCTGACATCCTACCCCTCCCTCCCATCCCCTCCCACTGCGCTAATCAATGTTTGTATTCTCACCGAATCGGGCGTCGCAGAGGAGAGCCCCGAATCCGTGCTGAGCCCGACCTCCCCAATTTCTCAAATTCTCAACCCATAGCAGTTTGTGCTGAAGTTCAAAGTTCTGGAATCAGCCTCGCCCCCTCGCAGCCTGCAGCGCATAACCCCCTAGTGCCTGCAGCCTCAGCCTCGCGCCCTAGCGCCTGCTTCGGGGGCGGACAGAACCCCCAACAGTGACACGTCGATTAGTGAATTGTC